AAAAATTCAGTTAATCCAAATTTGGTATCAAAAATACCGGTTGCTATTTTAAAAAAATAAGTTGCGCATGCGCGTACAGAGGGTTAAAAATTTGAAATTTATCTAAAAATGTGTATTTATATACTACTTGCTTGTAAAAAAGATTCGATTTATTCCATAGTTGGACATTTGCGTAAGATGATTACGTTAGATGGTGTAAGCCAGTAAACTGATGAGGATTTTCTAGGAGTTACGGGATATGTAAGTGTTTTATTTGTGAACATTCTAATATTGAGTACCGAAACATAATAATATATGGAAATCTGCAGTATTTTCATTTATTGTCTTGATGCCAAGATCTTTATGGATAGTCAGGATAGGAATAAATGGTGGAGCATTAAAACTATTAAATTAATTTTTAAGATTAACACATTTTTTAAATGTGGTGATTCAACATTTAAATCATACACAATGCCATGTATTAATTCGAAATAAATTAAAAATGATTTTAAAATATTATTAATACTATTTAATTATTATTATCGAATTAACTGTAGTGGACATGCATATGCGCTATGTATATCATGTAGTTTAACCTTTCGGCAACTTAGAGTACATTAAATTAATTKTATAAGTAAATGTACAATTTATTTCCTTAGCTGTTTTATTATGAAACATATTATTTCGATTGGGATTTTGTTAATAATCGCAGAATAAATCATTTTCTGTGTTTAACATCTTCAGGTGTTAGTTTCAAATTACTAATTGAAACAATAATGGGTAGACATTATAGACACCCATTTTTCTTTTGAAGTGAATGAATGAAAATATAGTTGGCGCCCTATAAAATATATTTTTCCTGCGCCCCTTAAAGGTAGCCAGTACAGGCCTGCAGGTAAATTTGTTTGGTTAAAAAAACAATATTCATACAAAATACATTTTAATAATAAAACTTATAAGAACATATTAAAATCGTACACTGAAAGAAGGACTTGTTTACTTGTTCAATCCAAAATTATGGTACCTGTGTCACTATTTTCATCGTCAGAAACAACTAAAAACAATATAAATATATATATATATACATATTAATTCAAATTATTCAAAAAATAAATAAATGACAATAAGAAATTCATATTCCTTCTGTTGGTTTAGACCACAAATAATTAAGGTGCTCTTTGGTTTTGCTAATAGTTATTTCAATTCTTTATTATAGATTAATTTCCAATTTGTTTTCACAAAATTCAATTAATATCAAATTTTTAGCCTATCAGTACATTTGACCACTTTAAAAAGGTTACCGAATATCAATATTGTTCTATTCATGTCACAAATATAATATCTTTACCTACAGCATTTATTGGATGTGGTATTTTCCTGGGTTTTACTTATCACTTTATCAGTATATTATTATAAAATTAATGTTCGAACAAATAATTAGTAAGGTAGTTTAAGTCACATTGCAATCACGTTAACTTTACCTATTTAATTATGTGTAATTAATTATTTTAATGTTTAATTATTGTTAATTAAGTACAGGTTAGGAATTTTTAAAAATTTCCAAAAGTTATAAAACCACTGCTTTCTTCTTAGTTGTGCCTATCAAAAAAAATTTGGTAATTTTTTATGGACGTTATTACATTGTTAAGTACTTTTGAAAATGTTTAGGGCAATTAAATCCACACCTTAATCCCCTAACTTATAACCATTAGAATCAGCATCAAATGTACTGGTGTTAGTGACTTCACCTACAGCTGACACTCGTTAATCTAAACTGTATATTTTAAGTAACGTTTACACACCAAAACCCGGTTACTTCAGGCTTATAACATATAGAGCGCCAAATAAATTTGTGGTACTAAATGTTGATTGCCTCGTGATTGGCGAAATCACCAACCGCTAGTACGTTTGAGGCAGACTCTAGTAAGAGATTATTTAATTTGGGATGACATTCCTATTTGTTGAAAAAATTTATATCATTACAAATTTCCCAAAATTTATTATAAATAACATGTGCTTTTATGATAAATTGTAAAATAGTAAACAAAAGTTATTAGTTGGGGGGAAGGTCCAATAACCAAAATGTACTATACTTAAAGTTATAAAAATTGAAGTGAAAATATGAGCTTGGTAGAATAATTTAATTAAACAAGGCAAATAGTACTTACCATATTTGCCAATAACAGGTCTAATATCATCTAATTTATAGTGGTTAATAATTTCAACACTCTCATCACTTGATGATGATTCACTACTTTCAGGATCAATGATTATAACATTTTCATTTTGGTCATCTTGTTTTACATTACTTGCTTGGTGCAAATTATTTTGAGTAGCAGTGAATGCAGTTCCATCAGTTATCTTAATCACATCTTGATCAACAACCATTTTTTCTACAACAAAAATATTATAAGGTGCTTATCARTTATTTTGACTACAGATGTTAATAACTGGATACATAGAAAACATTTATACACTTMATACTSAATACAACAGCATATAAAAAACTTCTGATGCCTAACTTTTCAACATCCAGAATTTTTTTTTCAGCTTGCAAATATTTAAATTTAAACTTAAGAATGATTTTCAAACAATAAGTTTACTATAGTTATTATAAATGGTCGGTAAAAACCACATTACAATTTTATAATACAACATTTTTTTCAGTATTTTGTATTAAAATTATCAAAGGATACAAACATAAGGCTGGTAATTTCATATTCATCCAGTTAATATTCAAGAAAGAAAATTAAAATGCTCATTGTAATAGTGAATAATTTATTTTTAAAGGAATGTTAGGTAAAATTGAGTTGATAAAAATATTTCATAAGAATCATAAATAAATAAAATGTTATACCATTAATTTCTTCGATTATATTTTCTTGATTGGATGGACCAATAAAATTTAATTTTTCAGACAAACATAATTTTAAACCATTATCTTCAGAAACTGCTGGTTCTAGGCCTTTAAATGATTTACAAGAACTGCTAGGACATAAATAATGTAAATAAATATACAAACAGACATGCACAAATACTAATTATGAGTACAATGGATAAATTGTTTAATCAACCCGAACTTTAAATTATATAAACATTTAATTCTCTCATGAAAACCAGAGCTATCTCTAGCGCAATTAAGCCACATATCAATGAAAACACCMTTCTTTAATATCATAATTTTAAGTTTGAGTAGTAAAAACAAAACTTGATGGTTCTGTTTGATTGACTGAAGTGAGATATAATAAAAAAATCAAAATAATTTATCGTACCGATTTTTAATATCAATTTGTATAGCTGATTTTATTTTATCAACAAGCTTAATGGCCACAGAAGCTGCCTGATTGGAACAGTTCATAAGAAGATTTTGACTTAAAGAGGCACATCCTTCAATGTCTACACCACACATTTCACTGTGGTTGTTAAAACATATAGACAATTTGTTATCACAGACTTTGTCTTCTAGAAGCGATGGATCCAAAATAATAAAATCACTAAAATAAAATCTTTGAACGTTAATTACAAAAACAATAAATAGTACATACACAAAATAACATACTATTTTTCAAAAATAGCAAAGCTCGCAATTACTGGATGATGATGAAGTGATAGTGGTATAGGATCTCTTTCTGAACTAGAATAAACAACTACTTTTTCCCCTGTAGAAAGAACATCTGGATGGCGAAAATGCATTAATGCTGCTAAAGTTGCAATTGAACAACATCCTAAAGTATTACCATCCATATTCAAAACACTCAAATCTACTTTAATTTTCCATACCTAAATTTATTTAAAAAAAATAGTTTTTACACTAGTATGTATTTATTTGGTCTTTAGCAAAAAATCCACTTAGATAGAAACAACTATCCCCAGTATAAGCATTAATATGTATTAGAAGAATATAAATATTATCAGTAATCAACTATATATTAATCTGTTAACAAAAATAAAATAAACTAATTACTAATAATATGAATAAAAAGGTATAATAGTGCTACTGWATTAGATAGCAAACATTGGTAAAGGGTATTTGGTCAATTTTTYCTTCAATAATTTAGTTATTAAAAATCTAATTTTTGGAATTCTTAAATAATATACTTAAAGACCATAGTTTCTAGTTCTTGAAAATGTTTATATTAGAAACATAAGGTGTTCCACAGTAATTTAAACTTATGTTTTTCAAACGAGAATCTCCTCTTTTTAAATGAAAATTATTTAATGGATAATTAAAAAAAAAAAATTGAAATAGCTGAATCAAAATTTTAATAAGTAGTTTCTCATTTTAATTTTTTTCTTATTAAGTGGATTTTTATCATGTGCATTATTTGAATATAAATAAAATAAATTTATCATACTTTTTCCTCAGCAATTATACATAATGATTCAAGATCTATACATTTTGAATCTTTATAGAATCTTTCCAAAACTTGATTTATTTTGGTTAGATCATTAAGTTTGTCGTCACCAGCTAATTCAGCAGATATTTGTAGTACACCTTCATTTGGACGACTATTATTAGGTTGATATATTTCACAGCTAACTTGAGCAAATACACGAGTGCAACCAAGTGTTACTAAACAATTACCCCAGTCAATCCCAAATTCAATTTTCAATGGTCTATATTCATCTTTTTTACGACCATCAAGACGCTAAAACAAAATATTTACAAAAATATTTACTTAATTCCGCAATATACCATTCTTGTATTGAAATAATTTATAAAAATATGAATCCAAACTTTTAATATGCCATAAAATTATAATAATGAACTTACTATTTTTTGAGATGCTGCTTCTAATATGAACGTTTTTTCACAGTCAGATAATGGATTTCCATTCATTGCAAATATCGTGTTATATAGTCGTTACTAATTGTTTACCTAGGAATTAAGAGAATAGTCCGGTATTTTATGAAAATTTAAAATTTCATTTTCAGCATTAATCGTTAAGATTTAAATGGAGCTTATGTGCATAACCTGAAAGAAATTTAAAAATCAACCATATCACATTTTGTCTAAATTAAGTTGAGATAACATATTATCATAGACCCATAGACGTCCTATGGTGTGGCCAATGGCCATAGAGCTGTTCTGCCCTAGAGTTCATCACCTGGAAGATACGATTTTGTTTAGTTTATATAACATGTTATAAAGAGGTATAAAAGTGAATATATTCGTTTTAAAATTGAAATGCTAACCCTAAAAACGAGTTATCATAATTCTGAGCCGTGCTATTTAATGTTTATAGTTTGTACTTTGTTGTGTTTATACTTGTTCAGTTTATCGACATTAAAACTAAAACAAAATTAAGATTACAATTAAGATTTTTTGAAACAAATTATATCTAAAAACTAAAATGTATAAAGTTCCTCAAAAAGTACAGAAGGTAATGGTACAGCCCATTAACCTTATCTTTCGACATTTACAAAATCGTGCTAAAGTTCAAGTAAGTATTTCTAATGGTAGTGAATTAACATTAATACCCCAGTAGCGTATTAACGGGAGCCAAATGACTGGTATATGGCATACAGATATATCCAAATATAGTGGAATAAGTCACCAGTTTATACTCATCAAATTTGGTATTTGTCAGGTATCTAGCAAGTATCGCGATACCTACTAACAATTTTAGATTATTTTTATTTTTTAATTCCATGATCACACATTTATTACGTATCAAATTTTTCACAAGGAAACGGACCTATTCAACGTRTATAWTACATGTTGTAAGGATCCTTGKCAATAATAAAAATTGGTCAAYATTTAAAAATGTCCTTTAGATTAATATTACACTGCRGCCCACGACCATTTTTTTTTGTTTTTTATATAGTATGCCTAGTAACTATAATATATTATATTTATGTATACTGTATGAGTCTTCAACAATAATGTTTTGAAATCTGTTCTCTACAAAAAAATTATAATATTCAAAGATTATATCAAATTTAACCATGCATTCTAATTTTAGGTATGGCTACAGGAAAAAATTCATTTAAGGATTGAAGGACATATTGTGGGTTTTGATGAATATATGAATCTGGTCTTGGACGAAGCTTGTGAAGTCAACACTAAAGTTGACTCTCGAAAACCTGTTGGTCGCATATTGTTGAAAGGAGAAAATATTACATTAATACAAAATATGACTCCATCCATAGGATAAAAACAGGAACTGTCAGAATAAATAAAATATACTTCAATATATCCTTTGTATCATAAATTCATAATAAATATCTTAATGCTTACAACTCAAACTATGTATAACCTGCAGTAATATTTATTAATTGTATATCATATTAATTTAGATTAAGCAAATACTTGAGACATAATTTTGTTTTCTCAGAAAATTGGAAGTTTTAATATTCGTAAATAACCTGTATAAGAAAAATATAGGTATCAAAATGTATATATATTCCTTATAATTATATTATATTTTTAAGAGGATACAAAAACCTGTACTGAAAACCTTTAKTAAGGATACAGAACTACAGAATATCTGTGTAAATTGCATAAGGGTATTACAATTTTGAGTCTGTTTTTACTAATCATTAAAAAAAATAAAAATATTCCAACCAAAATGCAAAATCGTGTTTTTCATTTACAAATCAAAACAAGAAAAGTAATTTAATGATACATCTTAATACTTAGACTGATGACAGTGACAAATTTACAAAATTCATAGTTAGACAATTAATTATTTATATTCTAAATTTTTATTTTAAAATAAAAAACAAACTTTCAGAATCATTCCAGTATCTTAAAATTAGTTCYATTTTACAAACAGATATTTTGTGAGATTTCATTATTGAAGTACTCTTTTCAAAAGTATTTAAAATACTTATTAGAGTACTTAACACTTAAGAATCATTTGATCATTTCTTAATGTTTTCTCTCTCCTAGTCCACGCTCTACATTGACAAAACGCATTTACGCAGAATTGTTATTCCATGTTTTTAAGTAATCTTAGTGTAATATCACCCATTGGAAAAAAGATAGAGAATAATATTTTTGAGGGAATGACATTTCGATTTGTCTCAAAACGATTTAAACATCATTTAAATGTACAACATATTTTTATTTATTTTGAAAGTCGAATACAAAATCAAATAACAAAATATAATATAATATCTATACCTATATTATTCTTTATCTTTTTAGTAATGGGTGATTTTACTCTAAGACTAATTAAAAACAGAAAAAATGCATTTTGTCTTTGTTGAGTGTGGATCAGAGAGAAAAATAGTGCGCTGACATTCTCTTAACTAGATTGTATCTCCAAAGAACTGTAAAATATGTGATAAATTATTGTGAACTCAGAAATTTTTGAAATGCACCTAGTTAATTGCGTCATGGGATATTTAAAATAACATACCTAACATAAAAAATATATATTAGTTTGAAATCGGTGAATAAAAAGTCAAAAAATATTAGAATAGGCTACACAAATTACATACAAAAGAAAAATTAATTTGTATTTGATACTGGAATTCTAATAAATTCACACATTTTTACAAGTTATTTGATTATAAGTACTAATTTCAGGTTCTCAGTGGATCGATGAATTGTTTTTATTGGATAATGTGTTGGASTGTTTGCATATACAAAGAGAAGAAAAAATGCTTCGGTTTTAAACTTTAAGGATGATTTCTTATACCAAAATGGTACTTTAGCAAGGTCAAAATATTAAATTCCTTATTAATTGAAGATAATCCTCAATTCCCCCTCACCTCTAAATGATGCCACTGAACATGTGACAAGACACCTAATGTAGTAACATACAAGTTAATGGTACCAAATTGCCAATCTTTTATAAACAGCAATAAAATCAATATAATTTTTAACAATTCAATCATAAAATCATTACAGAGCCACATTAGACATTTTGCGCCCGAGTGGTCGAAAGTAGAAAAATTGTACCCCCACCGGCTATGTWATTATATTCTAATGAACTTTTTTGATCTTGAGCAATATAAAGAATCTATTTGGTTTGAAATAATATGYGCTTTTTTAAAAATTGCCGTTTAATAATTTATTCAAGACCCACCTCTGTCTCGTGRCCCTTTCTGGAGATAAAATTGAGAATATGCCACTTGAGATAAACTATACCTATTGGAATATACAATTTTCCATTATTACTAGCAGTGGTTGAATTGGAAAAAAAAAATAAAGGTGGACTCTAAATGAAGTTGAATAATTAAGCAATTTAATAGTAACCCTATTCCTTGATGAATGTAATAAAGGGGTACGCTATAATTTGAAGAAAAATGAAGAGTAGCTACTGAGCCCCCTGCGTCCTCCCCCAATTCAACCACTGAATTTACTAGTCCTTTAAAAATGTATATCAAAAACACTAATTGTTTGAATTTTATCTATATATTCATTACATTATAAAAATAGATAAAAGTTTGAATAACTCATAGATGAACAAATCATTCGATCCCAAAATTTTGGCTCCAAGGGCATTTTTTGCCATTGCTCTCCTTTTAAATCATATTTCTAGCCTTAAATCTAAAAAAATGAAAGGAAAATGGGTATTTATTTTCTCATAAGTATCCTTRAACGTAATTTATTTAATATTTACGTATAAATAAAAAATATTACAATTTTACAAGTACCTATGATACTCAATTTAAAGGCCAAGACCAATTAACAACAAACATGATAATAGCACCTACAATTTGAAATGTATTTATACAGAACGATACATGGTTAATTGTTATTTAAAATAACATACCAAACYTTAAAATCACAGAAATGATTACAATACACTAATAAAAAAAATTGTTAAAATTAAATGTGGTCAATAGTGAGTATCGTTCTGCTATCTAATGGTAAAGTAGGTGTCAAGTGGGGGATCACTGGAGAATGAAATGGGGCCCACCACATTATATTTTTGGTACAGAACTAAATCCGGGCCCCTATTAAATAACAATTAGTTTTGAAACATTTATCTAATATATATTGACAGTGACGTAGCCATGATTTG